ACACGAGCACCAGCAGCGACGACAGCAGCAGCAGCCACGACGAGGGTGCGGAGGGCGATGTCCCCGGCTGGCGTGCCCCAGACGGGCAGCTGATCCCCAATGTGCGGATGGGGGGGCGCCCGCCGGCTGTCACTCCAGAACTCGCCGTGGCCATCACGGCGGCCATCACGGCGGCCCTTGGAGGGGGCCCTCGGCGGCCACAACAGCCGACTCAGGGACGCAAGCGCCGGAGGGCCAACAGAGCGGCGGCGGCGGCTGCGCGCAAGACACAGCAGTCGCAGCAGCAGCAGCAACCAGCCAACCAGCAGACCCAGCAGCCACCGAGCCCCTCCGCGCCTCCCGACTGGGCGCGGCGAATTGGTGAGGCTGATGCGGCCACGCTGGCACAGATCGAGGCGGTGGTCGCGGCGCGGCGCCACCAACTCAAGCAACCAGCGCCGCCGCGCGGCACCCCGCAGCCACCCCAGCAGCAGACCTCCAAGCCCCAGCCAGGTGCACGTGTCGGGCGCTGGCGGGTTAACGAGCGATCCTTCGGCGATAAGACTTTCACATCTTCTACCAAGGTGCTGGAAGCTCTCCGGGAGGGCAATGACCCCGCCGGGGACGTCTGCGTGATGAGTGCGACCCAGCTCCAGGAGGCGCAGGCCCTGGCCACCCAGCACGAGATCGCCAAGCCGTTTCTCATGGTGTGCCCAGACACCCCAGCAGACGAAGCTCCACCCGGCTCCAACGTGTCTTACGTGGAGGCCCTAGTACAAGGTCGACCGACCCTGAAACGATGCACCACCGTGACCCTTGGCTCGGGAGACGGGGGCAAGTCCGCCCCGCCGCTCCGAACCGCGGAGGGCGCCGCCGCCCCAGCACAGCAAGATTCTGTCACCTTGCGCTGCACAGTAAAGCGAGAGTACACCACCCCTGCGGAATGGACCTCCGCCAGGCAGAACCCTGGGGGGTTCGCTACCCGCGGGAGTTCGCTACCCGCAGAACCCGGGGTGGCCGCCGAAGGGTTTGCGGAGAAAGTTGACAGCAAGAGCAGCCGGGTGCTCGAGGCCCATATGTACATCAAGGTACTGCGGGCAGACGCAGACAAACTCATCACTACCTTCAGCGGGTCATCTGGCCGGTTCTACCGCGTCATCGCCCGCGACAGGGGCAAGACGCCTGACGACTACCCCGTGCGGTGGATCGCCCGGCACAAGGATGAGGAGAACGAGCTGTACCACGCGAGAGTCATGAAGATTGCGACGGACGAGGCCGAATCCAAGGGGCTCGTGCTTCGCCCTGGCAGCAACTCTGACCTTGGGGTGCGAGGCCTCCGGCCGACTGAGACCCCACTCAGCACCTGGCGGATCCATGGCGTCAACGAGTGGACCCCAGAAATGCTGACGGGGTGGCTGACAAACAGCGGATGGAGACAAGTCGAGATACGCGACAAGCCCTCGGGACGGTTCGGGTGGCTTGTCCGCGCGGACCCGCACCACAGCAGACCGGGCCACGACACCACTACCAAGGCAGATGCCTGGAAGATCACCTTCCCCGGTGACACCGGCAGAGCGGCGGTCAGGGTGGAGCGGTACGTCATGGCTCCACGGGGCTCGCAGGAGGAGGTGAAGACAGTCAAGACGAGGCGCGCTCGGTGGGCCCGCAGCCAGGACGCTGACGCCGGCAAGCCCGTGTATGAGGTCGCATACGAGCAGGCCTGCCGGGCCCGGGCCGCCGCCAGGGCGGAGGAGGATGCAGACCTAGAGGGCATGGAAGCCTCGGATCGGGCCAAAGCCGCTGAGGAGCGAGCGACACGGCGCAACCAGGAGGACGCTCGGGCAGCGCAGACGCTGACCGAGGAGCGAGACCGCGCTAAAGCAGCGGCCGCCGCGAAGGCGGAGGAGGCGAAGGCCAAAGCCGCTACGACCCAGCAGCCGCAGCAATCACCCCAGCAGCAGCAGACAGCAGAGGCTGCCCCGACCTCGGAGGCCCGAGCGGAGGGAGCCTCGAAACCGACAGCACCTGCGCAGCAGCCCACACGAGCCGCGACTAAGGGCTGGGCCAAAGACGACTTCGAAGAGATCGATGCTGGGACGAACGGTGGTGACTGCCAGTACCGGCACACTGCCATCGCCTACTTCTTGGCCCATGGTAAAGCCAAGGCGGACTTGGTCAAGCCCGCCAAGGCCGCCAGCCTGGCGAAGACCATGCGTGCCGAGGTGGTCGTGGAGCTCGAAAACAACAGGGAGTACTATGAGCCCTTCATCAAGCACATCCCAGAGCACGTGAGTGACGAGTCCAAGCCTACGACATGGGAGGATTACATACACCTGATCAAGACCAAGCCTACACGATGGGGCGATGCGGCGGTCACCCTCGCTGCTGCCACACACCTGCACAGTCAGATCTTCATTTACACTGGGGGATTTCTGGAAGGTGACAAGTGGCGGTGGCTGCAGCGGTGGGATTGCTGGCCGCGCGAGAGCGCCGGCAAGGCGGTCCGGGGGGCTCTCGACAA